GTTTCGAGGTGCACTGCGGGAAATTGTCAACAGGTCCCTCACTGAGGGACGGTTCCCCGGAGCACTCAAGGAAGCGATGGTCCGCCCTCTCCTAAAAAAACCTTCTCTGGATCCGGCCGTATTGACCAACTATCGGCCGGTTTCCAATTTGCCCTATTTGGGCAAACTGATAGAGAGGGCGGTGGCAACACAGTTACAGGGCTACCTGGATGAGGCCTCCATCCTCGATCCCTTCCAGTCCGGCTTTCGCCCGGGTCATGGGACAGAGACTGTCCTGGTCGCGCTGACGGATGACCTCCGTAGGCATCTGGATCGTCCGCCTCGCCGACGTGGGGATAAAGGGGCTTGCCCTTCAATGGCTCGTCTCCTTTCTCCAAGGTCGGGGACAGAGGGTGGTAATGGGGAATCAGCGGTCCCGTAGGCACCCCCTTGAGTGTGGAGTGCCCCAGGGAGCCGTATTATCCCCCATGCTATTTAATATCTATATGCGCCCCCTCGCCCAGATTGTCCGGAGGTACGGGCTTGGGTGTCATCAGTACGCTGATGACACCCAGCTCTATTTGATGTTGGACGGCCGTTCGGACTCTGCCCCTGATGACCTTTCTCGGGCGTTACAAGCCGTGGCTGGTTGGCTCAGGCTGAGTCGGTTGAAACTACACCCGGCAAAGACGGAGCACCTGCTTGGCATGCAGAAATAGGGTTGCCAATCCTCAGTTGGGGATGGGAAATCCCCTGATTTGGAACCCCTCACCCCATTTCAGGGCTATCCGAAAGTGGGGGGATGGCCACTGGGTGCTCTATTATACCCAATAGAAACTGGTCCCTGTAGGGTATAATGGAGAATTGATCTGTGGGTGTTTGGGGTGGCCCCCCCCTGTTTTTCAGGTAGAGGCACCAAATTTTCAGCATAGTTTTTGGTGCCTCTCTTCAGAAAAACTCCCAAGTTTCAAAAAGATAGGACCAGGAGGTCCAGTTCTATGAGACCCACAAACCCGGGTTCAAGTTCCTTTATTGCCTATGAGACTTGTAGTCATTACTAACAATGCTTTTGTTCCTGATATAACCACTGCTTCATAATAAATTCGACTTTGTTCATCAACCGCGGATTTATTTCGAATGCTTGGGGAATCGGACAGTCGGCCTCACCTGGCAACCCTATGCATAAAGTCTCCGGTTCAGTCCCTGGCTTCTCCAATTAAAAGGACTTGGCCGCAGGTGAAATGAAAGACCTCTGCCTGAGACCCTGAAGAACTGCTGCCAGTCAAACATACTGACTCTGACGGATCGATGGTCTGATAGTATGGGGCAGCTTCATGTGTTCAGGGGTATTCACCATTCCCCTTCCTGCCCTCACACACCAATCATTTCCAGGGCTATTTTGTACCAGGAACTCCTTTGCATATTAAGCAACACACCCCTAATGTAGCCAATCCTCCAAGAGCTTACAGTAGCCCCTGTAAGAAGAGCTCTGTAAGCTCTTGGATTGGCTACATTAGGGGTGTGTGGCCTAATATGCAAAGGAGTTCCTGCTACAAAAAGAGCCCTGCAAAGAGCTAGCTGGATAGAGAGGAAGTGCCACTGAATCCTTCCTTGCCAGGCATGCCCTGCCATGCTTCTCTTTTCCAACCACACTATGCTTCGGCTGTCACAGGGTGAAGCCAGGCGCAGTCGAGCCTGTGCTCCGCCTTAAGAACCTAGGCACAGTGGGGGGTCCTTGCTGGTCGCACTATACCTATGCCACGTTCCTCCTCCCTAGTTGCACTGCCACCAGCACAGGGCAAAGTTGGGCAACACTGTGCCCCTGCTCCTTTTTGCTGGCTTGTGGGAGGAGGAGCATAGGCACAGAGCCTCCTGGCTTTGCCGTATGCCAGCAAAACTGTACTCTTCCTCACCGAACCCACTGTGGGAGTGGGTAGGTCTTTGGACAATAGCCCATTGAGGTTTCCCTCAGTAAAATCAATGTCAATTTGCACCTGCTTACAGGCAGGAGAGCTCTTTTTTTGCACTCTGGACTAGAGCACCCTAGATCGAGGCAATTCTTTTTGTAGCAGGGACTCCTTTGCATATTAGGCGACACACCCCTAATGTAGCCAATCCTCCGAGAGCTTACAGAGCTCTTTTTACATGGGCTACTGTAAGCTCTTGGAGGATTGGCTACATTAGGGGCGTGTCGCCTAATATGCAGAGGAGTTTGTGCTACAAAAAGAGCCCTATACTAAACATGAACCTGTGGTATTAATTGTTTTTAAAATTATACTATGCTCATGTATGTATGTATGTATAATGATTAGCAAAGCTGCTTAGGTAGATTCAAAGGATTTTTATTGAATGACTTGGAAGGTGCAGTTGTCGTGCCTCCCCAGCAGGTTTCCTCTTCTAGTTGCAGTAGTTCTCTAGCACATGGAGAGGGCAGATGTTGACACAGCATTCCTCCACAATTCCTCTCTTGTCCTGCGGCTGGAATGACAGTGCCTCCATGCCTCTTGCTACCAAACAGAGAGAACACCCAGATTAATTCTTCTATAAATATATATGCTTGTAGTGCCCATCTTGCTAGACCATCTTTAAGGAGGCGATATAAATTGCGTTTGTGTGCGTGGGTTTTTTTAAAAATTCGAAGCAGCTTTAAATTGTATCTATTTCAGGGCTGCTTCCCGGTTTTGGGGGGCTCTTGAATCCCTGCCCACGAGTCCCATTTCCCCTACAACAGCTCTTCTGTTAATCCTTGATAATGGGGGGGGGGGGGCAGGTCTGGCTGTCACTCACTGGTCGAATCTGCATTTGCATTTTAAAAACAGTCTCATGCTGCTCATATGTTTATCGGTCTTTCTCTATGCTTGTTTGAATGCTGTTTGGAGAAGATTCTTTTGAAGCAGTGCAGCTGTGCAATGACAGTGGAGCCGCCCCGGAAAAACAATAAACATAGGTGGACATGCAAAAGTATGCTAGCACTCTTGAGGTGTGAAAATGACACCAAATGCAGACAGCTGTTTTGAAGACGGAGTTAAAAGGCTGGGACACCGGTGGGAAAGACAAATGCAGATTCAGCCACTGTGTAACTTCCACTACTGATCCCAGAAGTGGTAGCATTTTCTCCTTACTGCTGCCTTTCCTCTCAGTCTGGCTGTGGGTGTCATGGGGAAGAGGAGCCGAAGACGGACAGGAAGGGACAGCACTGGTAAAGAGGAAGGCAGCAGTCGCTACCATCAGAGCCCATGGTGGGAGGCAAATAGTGAGCAGTGGCATGGCTATGTTTCAGGTAGAGAAAAGGTCTCCATTCTATAGGCAATTAGCATTTTGCCTTGAACAGTGTAGCCCATGTTTTGGCTACAGAGACAGAAAATGCCCCCCTCCTTCAGATGTAAAAGCAGGGCTTTTTTGTAGAAAAAGCCCAGCAGGAACTCATTAGCACAATAGGCCACACCCTGACACCACAGCTCATTAGCATATTAGGCCACACCCCCATGTTGCCAGAAGTGTGGTCATCCAGCCACACCCACCTTTTGCTTCTTATTCTGTTTACCTTGTTTGTTGTCAAAACCCAGGGCCTTTTTTTTTGTAGCAGGGACTCCTTTGCATGTTAGGCCACACACGCCCACTGTAGCCAATCCTAATGGGTTTCTGCTGTTGGGTGTGGCCTATTATGCTAATGAGTTCCTGCTGGGTGTGGCCAACTCAGGAGCCAGCCGGAACTCCGTTCCTGTGCGTTCCTGCCCCAAAATAGCCCTGTGTAAAAGTATAATAACAAATTTAGTCACTGCTAATGTCCTGCCCAATTCTGTTACGTAATGGTAAGATGAGCCTTGGACTTTATATCAACTAGCTATACCATGCTTCTATATAATTTTTAGGGTGACTCAATATTGAAGAAGGTAGGGAGGGACAGGCAGGAAAACCAGGCAAAAATGGAAATGTTACTTTGACCAGTTAGTTTGAGTGCTATCTTTTGAGCCCTTATTTTCATTGAAATACTTAAATAGTGACGGATGTACCCTCTTGTTGAAACAGTTTCCCTAGGAGTGTATCCCATGATCTTTCTCATCAAAATACTGGCATTTTCCCCAACACATGATTCTCAACTTAGAGTTTATATTATAGTTCAATGCATAAAGTTAATATTTGTGTCGTTTGGGTAACCAGAAATGTTACCTAGGGATTCTTCAATGTTCCGCCGTTCTCTGGGGCCCCAGTAGAAGCCCCGGTCTCCACAGATAAGGTTGAGGGAATCCACTAGTTGGCGGCCACACAGATAATAATTGGGGGAAGCATGACTAGCAATAGGAGCCAAAACAGCAATCAGTGCCAGGAGAGGCAAAGATCTGATCCAGAATGTCATGGTGATGTCGGCGAGACCTTGGAAAGAGAATGCAAGGTGAGGAAATGGGGTTAGAGCAAAGATAGGAGTCTGTTACTTGACTTGTACCACTCACAATCTTATTGATTGATTGATTTGATTTCTATCCCACCCTCCCTCTCAAGTGGGCTGAGCGCAGGCGCAACAGGAATATGAACAGTAAGACCACACCATCAAACCATAAACAATTTAGAATCCAATTTTAAAACAGATGACAGCCGGTAATAATCCATCGTGCTCCGTGCATTGAAGGGCAGGCAGGCAGAAACATAATAGCAGTCTGCAGGGGTCATTTCCTGCAGGAGTGCACAGGAGCGGCACTCCGGCAGTAAAGAGCCCAGGGGGCGGGCACATGCAACAAGCCCCGCCCCCTGCTCCCAGCAGCCCTCAGTCAGAGCAAGAAGCAGCCTGGTAAGTTGCAGAGCTCCCCCCGCCCCGCCCCCCCCCGGTCCAAAACAGTCCAGTGGCACCTTTAGGGCCCAATTTGCATTTAGCATTTGCTCGGTTGTTTTACCACACCCACACTGGAACAGAAAAAAGATGCAGTTCAAAACCACATTCAACTACTCTGGGCCAACACTGTACTGACTTAAGACCAAGTTTTATTCAGGTACAAGCTCTCCCTCCTCTGCGAGGACAGATCTGCATGTTCCCCCCCCCTCAATAGCTAGCAATCCAAAACAGTCCAGTGGAGCCTGAGCGGTGGGTGTTGCCTTCTGACACACTTCCGGTGATGTCAGGGGGTGTGGCATATGCAAATAAGTTATGCTAATGAGTTATGCTAATGAGCTCCTGCACCTCTTTTCCTACAAAATTACCCCTGGTAGTCCGGTTACTATTGATGGAAACCATTGCCCTCTACGCCACTGAATGGGTCTGAGGGCAGTTTGGGCAGAAAGGGCCAGAAAGAGTGGCTGCCCGCCAGTTAGCCAAAAGCCTGGTGGAACAGCTCTGTTATACAGGCCCTGTGGAACTGTAATAAGTCCCACAGGGCCCTGATCTCAATCGGGAGCAGGTTCCACCAGGCAGGAGCCAGGACAGAGAAGGCCCTGGCCCTAGTCAAGGCCAGGCAGATGTCTTTTGGGATGGGGACTGCCAGTAGATGTTGCTCTGCTGAGTGTAAAGCTCTACAGGGCACATATGGGGAGAGGTAGTCCCACAGATATCGTGATCCCTGGCCACCACCTTGTTAGCACCAACACCTTGAACTGGATCTGGTACTCAATCGGTAGCCAATGGAATTGGCGTAGCCAGGGCTATTTTGGGGCAGGAACGCACAGGAACGGAGTTCCTGAGTTGGCCACGCCCAGCAGGAACTCATTAGCATAATAGGCCAAACCCAATAGCAAAAACTCATTAGGATTGGCTACATTAGGGGTGTGTGGCCTAACATATAAAGGAGTTCCCGCTACAAAAAAAGCCCTGGGTTTTGACAACAAACAAGGTAAACAGAATAAGAAGGGAAAGGTGGGTGTAGCTGGATGACCACCCTTCTGGTAACATGGGGGTGTGGCCTAATGTGCTAATGAGCTGTGCTGCCAGGGTGTGGCCTAATATGCTAATGAGTTTTGCTGTTGGGTGTGGCCTATTATGCTAATGAGTTCCTGCTGGGCATTTTCTACAAAAAGAGCCCTGGGCGTAGCACTGGCTGAATGTGCGCCCGCCCAGACAGTCAGAAAGCACACTGCTGAGTTCTGCACTGGCTGGAGTTTCGGGGTCAGATTCAAGGGTAGCTGTTGGGTATTTGCATGTTGAAAACACTCCATGTGTATGTATGGGGTTAAATGTCTGTTCTGTTGTTACAGGAAATCACCTGTCTTTGTATTAGCCAATGTTAGCTCAAGTCTGTTAGCCCGTGAAAAGCATCCCTGTTCTAAGAGTTTGATTGGAAGCAAAGTGTTAGTGTCTTTGCATTTTATGGCCTCTCTTCCCCTCTTTGTTTGCCTTGGAGAAGAAGCATGTGAGGAGACCCATCTTCCAGTTCTTCTAGTCTAGAGAGGATGTAGCTGATTTAGCTCTCTGTTATTTTCTCCCAAGTTACCCTTCCCTATGGTAGAATTGTAGTAAACTTTTATATTTTTAAACACACATGGACTCTGGGTCTGATTATTGAACTCTGGCATTACTCAACTGATTTTTAACTCTGCTGAATTCTTAAAAACTCCAACAGTAGCCCTGCATACAGTGAATTACAGTAGACTAACCTGCAAGTGACTATTATGTGGATCACTGTAGCCAAGTCCTGGTGGGAAAGGTAGGGGACTCGTTGCCAGACCAGCCTAGAGGCGGTAAAAGGCTGATCTGGCAACATTGATGATCAGGGTCTCCATGAAGAGTGAGGCATCCAGTATCACTCCTAAACTCCTCACCCTTGGCACTGGCACTAATCGTGCCCCTCCGAGGGCTGGGAGCAGAATTCCCAGGTCCCCTCCTCCTCCCCCCCAGCTCAGGGAGAGGACCTCCATCTTGGATGGATTTAATTTCAGCCAGCTCTGCTGCAACCAACCAGCCATGGCCACCAGTGCCATGCCCAAAATATCCAGGGCCGAGTTCAGCTGACTGTCCGTCAACAGATACAGCTGGGTGTCATCAGTGTACTGGTGACAACCCAGCTCAAACCCCCTATTAGCTGGGAGAGGGAGCACATGTAGATGTTAAACAACACCAGGGAGAGAATCACTCCCTGAGGGGCGTCACTTACCAGTGGGTGTCACAGTGAAATCCTCTCCCTGAGCACCACCCTCTGTCCCCGACCCTGGATGAAGAAGGATAGCCATTGCAAGGTGCTTTAAGGTTAATCTCCCCCTTCTCCATCCTGTTCTCCCTCCTACAAAAATTTCCGTTTCAAAAGCCACAAGCTAATAGCCGCGGTGGCTCAAGTGGTTAAGGCGCTGAGCTGCAGGCTGTGGAAGGTCGGTAGTTCAGCAGTTCGAGACCCGAGTGTGCCGCACGACGGAGTGAGCTCCCGTCTCTAGTTCCAGCTCCTGCCAACCTAGCAGTTCGAAAGCAAGACATTGCAAGTAGATAAATAGGTACCACTTCGGTGGGAAGGTAACAGCGTTCCGTGCGCCTTGGTGTTAGTCATGCCGGCCACATGACCACAAAAATGTCTTCGGACAGTGCTGGCTGTTCGGCTTGGAAACGGAGATGAGCACCGCAACCCTAGAGTCGGAACAGACTGGCTTTTGAGCAAGGGAAACCTTTACCTTTACTAATAGCCATAGGGACTTGTTTTAGTTTAGGACTGTTTTACATGTTACTTTTTAAAACTACTTTTAAAACACTACACATGTATTCCTAAACATATATTATGCTGAGCGCCAGACCCATGTCTTAAGATTTATATGGGTACACTATGGGGGTACACTTCAGAAAGCTGTGACTGTTTTGGCCATATGGTAGAAAATACACATTTGCCCCCACATACTATGGATGTAATGGTGATATGTCAGTCTTACCCATATGAACATCCACACAAAAATGTTTAATGGGGCTCACTTCCAAGTAATTTCCTTAGGGTCACTGCCTAAAGTGTTAGGAGTGCATCAGAACCACATTTCATAAACAATTTGAAGCTGTGTGTGGTGTCAGGCTAGGATGACTGGGTGACTTTGTGGCAGGCATTCTCTTTGAGTTACCTCACAGGGTCATAGTGAAGGGGGAGAAGTGGAGAAGAGAAGAAGAAGAGAAGAGATTGGATTTATACCCCGCCCTTCACTACCCAAAGGAGTCTCAGAGCGGCTTACAAACTCCTTTCCCTTCCCCTCCTCACAACAGACACCCTGTGAGGTAGAAGAAGAAGAAGAAGAAGAAGAAGAAGAGATTGGATTTATACCCCGCCCTTCACTACCCAAAGGTGTCTCAGAGCAGCTTACAAACTCCTTTCCCTTCCCCTCCCCACAACAGACACCCTGTGAGGTAGAAGAAGAAGAAGAGATTGGCTTTATACCCCGCCCTTCACTACCCAAAGGAGTCTCAGAGCAGCTTACAAACTCCTTTCCCTCCCCCTCCCCACAACAGTCACCCTGTGAGGTAGGTGGGGCCGAGAGAGCTCTTGACGGAAACTGCTCTTTTTCAAGAACAGCTCTGACAGAACTATGGCTTGCCCAAGGTCATCCAGCCAGGTACAAGTGGAGGAGTGGGGAATCAAACCCGGTTGTCCCAGATTAGAGGCCATGCATTTAACCACTACACTAAACTGGTGTAGTGTACACTGCCTTGAGATCCCTGAAGGGAGAACATAAACAAAATACTGTATATAAATATATATTTACAGAAATAATTATAACAGGGGAATAATGTCATTCTCTTAGCAAGGAGTGGCTCATTAGCCATAGTCCTGCTCGCTATCCATTGGCCCCTACTGGCAATTTGTGTGTGGGCAGCATGTGCTTCAATTGCACACCCAGTTTTTCAGTCTGCAGTGCTAAGCAGAGCCCTACAGCCAAGGGAAGGTGTGTTCAGTATGCACATGGAGCTCTTTTCATTCACATCGTTAAAGGCAGGAAAACTTCCTTGCCCAGGCAGAACTGCACATTCTGCTGAATTAATTTGTGTGTGGGCAGCATGTGCTTCTATGGCACACCCAGTTTTCCAGTCTGCAGTGCTAACAGAGCCCTACAGCCAAGGGAAGGTGAGTTCAATATGCACATGGAGCTCTTTTCATTCACATAGTTAAAGGCAGGAAAACTTCCTTGCACAGGCAGAACTGCACATTCTGCTGAATTACAGCCAATAGCTGTCTGTATATACAGGGAAATCTGTCCTTTGCTGGGCAGCATCAATCTCTTCTACAGCACATTTCAGTGTGAAACTGCTTTGACGTCTTCCATTTGTTCAAATTCTGGAAAGGCTGACAGAAGCACAGGAGTCTACAAAGGCCAGCTAACGATCCCTCTATTTTGTGGGTCCTTGTTTCTTTGTGGTTCCTGAGGCCAACTTGCAAGCCTTACCATAGGACACCCCATGAGCATAAAACCAGAACATAAATACTGACAAGACTTTGACCTCCCATCTTTAAATCCCCAATGCTATGCACTGCACAAGAGAATCCAAAACACAGTGGAGAAAACAGACTTACCTAATCAAATTATAGCAAGAGAAGCTTTGAAGGCGGCTCAGAAAAGAAAGAAAAAGATTATGTTGAAGTGAGACTTGGGCCTCCTCTCTCTTCCACATTTATAGCCCCTTGACTAGTCCTAATGACACAAGATTTGGTCAGAGCTCCACCTTTTCCTCATTGTCCTGGACATTTTTTTTGCTGCCTGGGCACATTAAATCTTCCATGTGCATCGTCAACAGGTCTTAAAGATGGGACAGTAGAAGCAACAGTTTGCAGTTTCCATCCCATTACCCTCGTCGCCAGTGTTTGTTTCACAGGCCTTGAGTTGTTGTCACCCTTTTAGCAAGAGAGATAATGGGGCTATTAAAGCTCTCCAATTACACTAATGCTGGGCAATTGGCAGTGCTGAGAATAGGGTGACCACCAAGGTGTCCGGCCTAGCAGCTGTTTCTGAAATGCAGAATTAAGAAAAAGCAAACATGTTAACCTGCTGGGTAACCAGTGACAGGCCAAAGTTGTTGCGAAGGCACTGATAAACCCGGCTCTCAAAGAGGAAAGAAAACACTTCAGTACAGCAAACAATAACTAAGGCTGCATTTCCTGTTTGGAACAAAAGCTACAAACTTGGAAACATGGAGATTTTATATGAGCGGAGTGATGCCACTGAGTTCCTTCTAGTTAACATTACTGTTACAGCTTTATTTCACGTGGTCTAAAAGAACTCTTGTACTTGTTTTCTAAGAACATGGCTTGTGTTTGACAGCTAAAGTAACTAAACCAGATATCTGGTTTATGTTGTCAAAAACCTGCGGAACAGTGCATGTGGCTGGTATGAAATAACGCACCCACGCATACACAATGCATCCCTTTTGATTGTGCATTTAATTAAAGGCTAAATAGCATTGGTATTTTCCTGACTGACCCTGAAACCAAAAATTATGTACATACATTTGTCAAAATGCTGGGGTTTGTGTGTCTCTGTGTGTGGAATGCAAGCCCAAGATTGTAACAGCAGTGCCAAGAGTCTAAACCACAGCTCTCTAGATCTCGTAAACCAGAAATATACCTCACAGGGTATAGCTCTGAATGTGGGTCAGCATTCACATATCTGCCCCTTCAACACAAAACAGATCCAGGAAGTCTGTCAAAATGGAAACATACCAACCCATCAACAATGCAAGTGTGCTGAGAGGAAACAATACTTATTACAAATCTAAGTTTCACACAGTAAATTTGGTACCAGAGATGTGTTCTGTGATTGGATAAGATGAAGTGATTCTACTGACCTGGCCGTAGTGCAGATAACCCAGTCACTGAAAGGTTCTTAAAAATGCAGAGTAAAAGAAACCAGAGCCACACTGTGTGTTTGTTTTAAAAGTAAAAGTAACTTTATCTCATTAGGGAAGGGAGCTTTGGAGAAAATTAAGTAATATGTCTATCTAACCTAAACAGACCAAGTCTTTACAGTTAAAAGGCAAATGGCTTAATGGCTTCTTCTTCTTCTTCTTGCTCACAAAACAAAGAGCAGAAGAGCTACCGTAAAAGTTACAATATATGCATGAAAGATCAAAGCATTTATTCTAATCAGTCTACAGATATCCAATAGAGAGGTTACAGATGACTTCATTTGGCTAAACTACATCCACAGTTTTCCTGGGCTAAGCCAGTTGAGTGTAGTGGTTAAGTGTGCAGACTCTAATCTGGGAGAACCGGGTTTGATTCCCCACTCCTCCAATTGCACCTGGCTGGATGACCTTTCATATGTCTTTTTGGTACAAAACCAGTCTGGTCAGGATGAATTACTTTGGAGATACATTTCCTTAGTCTATCAGCCATGACTGAGGCAAAAATTTTATAGTCCACATTCAACAATGAGATGGTTCTATATGATTGTAGCAACATTGGGTCATTATTCTCTTTATATATTAATGTTATATGGGCTTCTTGCTAGGATGGTGGCAGTATCTTCTTTTCACTTATATGATTCGTAACTTTTTGTAAGAACAAAATTATCTTCAAAAGTTTTGTAATAAATTGCAGTTCGTCCATCTGATCCTGTTGCCTTGTCCTCTTTTAGTTTCTTGATGGCTTGTGAGACCTCTTGAATTGAAATGCTTTGATTCAAAATTTCTCTATCTTCATTTGAGAATTTACAAGTTCAGGCTTCTTTAATATATTCATCCATTCCATTTACTGTTGAAACATCTTTTTAATAGAATGGGGGGGGAATTTAAATTGTTCTTGGATTTCTTTCTCTGTATAGGTGATACCATCTTTTTTCCCATACATCAATTATTATTTTTTCCTTTCAGTTTCTTTATGTACTCAGTATGCAAGATACCCTCCTGATTTGTTTGCATGTTCAAAATGTTTTTGTTTTTAAAAGCTCAATTTTTTTGTATTTGTTGTTGTAGATTTTCCGGGCTATATGGCCATGGTCTTGGCATTGTAGTACCTGACGTTTCGCCAGCAGCTGTGACTGGCATCCTCAGAGGTATAACACAGAAAGATGGAGTATTCTCTGTGTCGTAGGCAGGTGGTGAAGTCCTCTTTCATGGGGGTGGCAATTAATACATCATCGACTCCACCAGGTCATTCCTCGGCCATTCCAGGCTAAAGGTGAAGTGGGAGAAATGCCTCCTGGGAGTCCCCCATGTAGAGTTCCTGGGGCTCATGCCATCATCAATGCACCCGCTCCCACATCCAAGGCCAAGCTGAAGGCTTTCTTGGGGCTTCCAAACTTTTACCACTCATTCCTACTACTACCAGACCCTGTCATCAGCGAAGCAGAACTACTCCCAGATCGACAAAGAGACCCCTGCGTGGGAGTAAAAAAGTTCCACAATTACCTGTACAGCTGCCCCTTCACCATCACAATCAATCACAACCCCTGCTTGGTCTCCTCACCCCCGACTGCCAAACACCGCAGATGCTGTCACCCAGGGACCTGCGCTGGTTCATTTTTCTGGGGGGTTACCAATACACCCTGCAATATTGGCCAGGGAAGTCCATGGGACACGCAGACCCTCTTAGCTGCTTCCCAGTCAGCTCTGTCGACCCAGATCTGGCTCCTGCGCACCAAATCTTGATGATGGAGGACCTGCCAGACTGCCCTCTGCATGCCGCGGACATTTCCTGCCACACTGCCAGGGATCATGTCCTCTCCCACATTTTGGACTGGGTGGGGAGGGGATGGCCCATGGATCAGGTAGGCCCAGAATTAACAGCGTTTGCATCCCACCAGGATGAGCTTTCAGTGCACAAGAGGGAAGCCAAGTAGTGATTCTCCCGCCACTGTGTAAAGGGGTTTTGGAAGCCCTGCACAAGACGGGGGGGATGAAATCGTGGGGATGAAAGCATTGGCCAGGAGCTATGTGTGCTTCGGCTTGGAAACAGAGATGAGCACCGCAACCCTAGAGTCAGATTCGACTGGCTTTCAAGCAAGGGAACCTTTACCGTTACCTTTTTACATGGTAACAAACTTCTGTAGAATAACATACCGTGTAGATTGGGGACCAATATGTTGGGACAACTGGGCAGTGGGACTCTGGTAAACTGGAAAATAGTTGGTTATTTCCAGGTAGTTGAAATGCTATCAGTTCCAGGCAGCACTATCGTTCATTGTCACATTGTTGTGAGCGATGCTCCCTCTAAGCTGCAGTGGGACTCTGGTAAACTGGAAAATAGTTGGTTATTTCCAGGTAGTTGAAATGCTATCAGTTCCAGGCAGCACTATCGTTCATTGTCACATTGTTGTGAGCGATGCTCCCTCTAAGCTGTGGAGTCTTGTGAGCAAAAATTCTATTTTGTGAGCTACTGGCGTTAGTTCGCTCTGGAGCCATCCCTTCCTGAGCTAAGACAAAAATGTGTGAGCTGGACGCTAAGACACTCTGAGCTAGCTCGGCTTAGAGGGAACACTGGTTGTGACTTAAAAACCTTTAAAAAGAGTTGCAAAAAAGTGTTAAATATTAATATTTTATAGAGAGAAGGGTATCTCTCCCTCCCAGTCTCAGCAAGTTCAGACCACATTAGCCTATAATTGAAGTTGGGATTTTTTTTTTGTCCCAGTGTGCATCACCTTACAAGATATCTGAAAAGTGTGCCTGCACACAAAAGCTTACATCTTGAATAAAACGTTGTTGGTCTTAAAGATGCCACTGGACTCAAACTTTGTTCAGCTTTTGAATTGGTACCTGATCTTTCACCTTTCACAGGAACAGGACCTGTGACATTAGTAGGTGATAGTACTTAAAGGTAAAGGTTCCCCTTGCTCGAAAGCCAGTCGAGTCCGACTCTAGGGTTGCGGTGCTCATCTCCGTTTCAAAGCCGAAGAGCCAGCGCTGTCCAAAGACGTTTCCGTGGTCATGTGGCCGGCATGACTAAACACCAAGGTGCACAGAACGCTGTTACCTTCCCACCAAAGTGGTACCTATTTATCTACTTGCAATGTCTTGCTTTCGAACTGCTAGGTTGGCAGGAGCTGGAACTAGAGACAGGAGCTCACCCTGTCTTGCGGCACCCGGGTCTCGAACCGCTGAACTACTGACCTTCCACAGCCTGCAGTTCAGCGTCTTAACCACTTGAGCCACCGCAGCTCCTTATTCCTGTGCAATGAAAAGCTTCACCTGTTCATTTCTGCAGTTTAAGCTGACATTGAAGACACATTAGCAGGTTAGCCCCTTTTACATCTTTACCTTCAAAGGAGCTTGAAACTTCAACCCTGCTTTGAGTTCTGTCTGCTGTCTTATACTGAGAATCTGTCTTGCAACAAAGCTCGTGGTATAATGAATAATGCTAAAAGTTCTAAACCAGTCGGCTCATTCTTTTCCTGTTTGGTTCCACGAACACCTCTACATTTTAATTCCTTTATGGTGGCCAGAGGACCTTTGATGGAATATTTTAGTATGTTTTGGCACAGGAAGAACTTTCCTAATACTGCAAATTTGATGGGATCTAGAATTGCCAAGCACATAATGGCTGTTCATTTTGCCCATCCTGTTGCTATGCTTCTTCCGATGGCACCGATATACATAAAAATGTTCTCAATAAAAACAGACCTTACGATGTGCTCTGCAGTCAAGGTTCTG